TTTACTTTGGAAAAAAATCTTTCAATTAAAATTCCCCTAGTTTCAAAGACTCCAGTTTGAAATCCTTTAAATGAAATGGCTGTGTGACTGATGCTACCTTTACTCCTCCCTTGGTAATTTGATTATCAAAGATACTTTAGAAGGATCAAATTACATATCAACACTATCTGGACAGATAGCCTGAAGGCTCTTTTCCTGCAGTTACTGAAATGTCTCAAACAGAGTGTTCAGAGGCTGTCTTCCTCTGTGTTAGAAGATTCATTTTATCATTCACCTAATGAATCATGATACTTCTTTTGGTATCAATGAGCTGGCTGTTTATAAAGAAGTAGAGAACTGGAGAGGCAATTAATATGGTCTATGATTTCAGGCTGGTTTTGAATTGACATTTCAGCTATATTTTCACAGTAAATTATATTGCAAATATGTAGATAAATTCACTAGGCAGATGAAACAAACAGTACATGAAAACACTGTTTCTTTTGCACATGAAATTAGAATAAGGACACTTTCCTGTGCAACAAAAAAGTAGACCAATATTGTATGTCTTTCCCATGTGAGATTTCTTGTATAGTTAATTAGTGAGATTAACTACAAGTACTACAATGTGAAAGTGTAATAGAAGATAGATTACATTAAAAGGCTCAGTATGAAAGGGAGAAAATTGGATAGTAGGTAAGGGTTCCCAAACTCCCATTAAGTGAGCCCAATGGTATTCTTTTTTCATTAGTAATTTAGGGTCTGACTAACCACAACCATGTAGCAAAATTAAGTGACCCTTATCCGAAGGCACTATGAGGTGGGACAAAGGAAGGGGGAAATCAGCCTCTAGTACTAGCAGGGATGGGAATGTTATTTTGGCTCCTTTGAAGCAGAAAGTTGTCTTGGCTACATGGAATGACGCATGAAGTTGTCCCCAGCTTTGTTATTTGTAGTCTATGAACCTGTCCACAGCCATGAACCCCACTGAAATCATTAGAACATTTGGAAATCTATGAAGCTGCACATATCTCACTAGGTCAGATAAGCAAGAGTTGTACTTACAGGGGATATAAAAGAAATTTGTGAAATTTCAAGAATACAAAGTCTGTCTTGGTGCACTAGCATCAAGATGTATAACAATATAATCTACAAGCAAATATTTACTATCATTAGTGACCAGCCAAGCAACACTACCATATTATTCACCTACAATGCCTATGCATGTGACATTCTAGTTTTCTGGCAGATTTTCACTTGCAGAGACTTCATGTATCTGATTGCTTTCAAACAGGTTCTCTTGGAAATAACACACAATTAAAATAATTCTTTTTTTATATACAGAGTGGTATTCCATTTAATGCTTAGTTTAGGCCAAACATTTATACTCTAATATATAATGTATTTTCATTCTAAGCTTTTTTTGAATTTTTAAGTTCATGATACTTTTTTTATTCTCTTTTTCAACAAGAGTTCAGATTTTTTAAAAGGAAAATTATTTGTGCCATACTTTGGAGAAATTTCACACAGAACTAACTATATTTTATATTTTTATGGAACATCTGAAAAACAAAAGAAGGCCTGTTTGAAAAGTTGCATGAGGTAAAATAAACTTTGAGAAATAAATAATAAATGCATGATAATTCTATAGCTGCATTCTTGGTTGATTCCTATAAAAATCACTATTATAAATGCAAGAGATGAGAAAAAAAGTATTGCCTGCATTTTTATCTTTTTTTAGTAGATTATTTTTGCATGGGACCACTGAATTTAAGGATCCAGCTTAAAAAAAAGGACCACGAAATTCCACCACGTTAAACAGATGTAAGACTGTTGAACAGATGGAAGATTCAAAGAGGGAACAAGCTTGTTTTCTGCTGCTCCAGAGACTAGGACCCAGAACAATGGGTGCAAGCTCCAGGAAAAGAGATTCCACCTCAACATTAGGAGGAACTTCCTGACAGTAAGGGCTGTTCGACAGTGGAACACACTCCCTCGGAGAGTAGTGGAGTCTCCTTCCTTGGAGGTCTTTAAGCAGAGGCTGGATGGCCATCTGTCAGAGGTGCTTTGATTGGGGCTTCCTGCATGGCAGGGGGTTGGACTGGATGGCCCTTGTTGTCTCTTCCAATTCTATGATTCTATGAAAGATATAGCCGTGTTAGTCTGTAGAATCAGTGTGTAGAGAGATCTTGTAGCACCTTTGAGATTAACAGAAAAATGTGACAGCATGAGCTTTCGTGGACTTCAGTATACTTCAGATGCATTTGGTGGAGTGGAAGCCAGGCACAAACATTTATATGCCATTGATATGTGAACATGTCAATTCAAATTCAAAATCCTTTGTGTATGAAACTGGACCTGCAACTTCATTTCCAATACACAAAGGATTTATTTGAATTGATATCCTCACATACCAATGGCATATTGATATCCTCACATACCAATGACATATGTGTGTGTGTGTGTATCTGTATCTATATCTATATCTAGATATAGATATAGATATCTGTGCTTGGCTTCCACTCCTCCAAATGCATCTGAGGAACTAGACTGAAGTCTACAAAAGCTCATGCTGCCAA